CAAAATCCAAAAATTGCTTATATTTTCCGTGCAAAAAAAGGCCGTTTGTCTAAAACTCAACAATTTTTTGTCGTTTAATTTAGATAATAATTAAATTCACCAAATGTACACTTATTTTTACGCTGATTTTACAGTGCAATTTTTATATTAATCAGCTATTTCAGATGAAAAAATTAGTATTCGAATGATTGTGAAGAAATTCGAACAATTTTACCCTAAATAGAGCCAGTTTACGGAATTAAATTTGGTATATTTTGGTTTATTTATTTTTTTCAACAACAGGTATTAGCAACTGATTTTCAACATACGTTCTTCATTTCACAAATATGTAAAAAATTTTCAACGACACGCTACCATCACTTTTTAACTTACCATCCTATATGATCTTCATGCTATACGGCAGCGTGTGTGATGCGTCGTGTGCTCTGCATTTCATGCTATACGGCAGCGCGTATTACTAACGTAAAGGTGCGTTGTGTGCTCTACATTTCACGCTATACGGCAGCGCGTATTACTTACGTAAAGGTGCGTTGTGTGCTCTACATTTCACGCTATACGGCAGCACGTATTACTTACGTAAAGGTGCGTTGTGTGCTCTACATTTCTCAGGCCGCGATGGCTGACGGGAATTTGTTCAAGTCTCCCCTGAAACGACCGCTCACTCGCGCGTAAAAGCTTAGCCTGATTATTTTATATGCAACTCCTCCGCGTTTAGGCCAGAATAAGACCCTCAGTGGGTCTTGTTTTCAGATATAAAATCGTCGTTAAACTCCGTCTTTTATAGTTAGTTCCTGGTCTGGCAAGTGCCGTGATGGTGGCGATAAGGAGATGCTTGCTTTACTAGACCGTATGTTGATTCTAGATAGCGATATCTAATGTAGAAATGTATATCCTTCAAATCGTATTTGATGCCAATTTATTCATGATTAAGTTATTTCAGTGAGGTGGTACAAAACATGAGCAGTTTTAAAACATCGCTTAATATATGATTTACTCAGCCTAATATACATAGTCTAATATGTGTAGTAACAGCCCTCTGCGTCCATCTCGGGATTATATTTAGCCTGATCATGTTTGTGTTTCGCAGTGAATTTATTCCCATGTTACAATTTGTGATGATTCTTGCACCAGAAATCGTGAAAGTTTGATAAATAAGAAATTAATGCAAACTTGAAATGTCGGAATATCTTAAAATACTCCGCGTCCTGATTCAAAGCGTTTACTATTTTGTAATGTCATCAAATATTGTCGTTTACTTAGTTCCATCAATAACCGTGTTCCTGAAAGAACTCCTTCTTGTGCTTTCACCTGGCGCTGGCAAATGATTTATCAACAGTCACGAAGGAATTGGAAACGTCTATACGCCTGCTGCAAAAATCCGGCACAAAATATACTAGGAAATAAATTCAGACATTGTTCTCTCGCGCCAGGAAAGCTATGTGTCATGAGGCTCAACTGATAAATTAATATACGAAGATTTATAAATAATGCATATCTGCAGAAATTTTTAATAAGTTAACGTTCCCAATATCTGTGACGTTCTTAATTGAGAACAGACTCCGCCCTCTCATCAATTGCCCGGAGATTGCTTTTATCCCGAGGTCATTAATTACATGTACACTTTTTAAGCTCCCTGAGTTATAATTTCAATATTTTATGAACCAACGTGATGAGCAGGCACTTAAAAATTCGTATATTTGGAAAATGCTCTTTCCAATCAAAGAGTATTAATTTTAATTCTCTTAGGCTGGGCCAAACTGGGTCTGAATGACCCACTCAAGGGCACAAAGTGCGTCGCAAGTCTTTTGACTCACTTCTCTGGACGATGAAACGCGTTGGTCTGGTGTAATTTCGTTACGTCTCTTTTAATCACTAATTATCGCCACACAAATGTAGAACAAAATTAATTCAGCATCATATTGCATAGTATTTATAATATTTTTTTCTCACGGCTAATCTATGAGCCTAACGCATGGGCAGCAACGCGGCAAAATTCACCGCGTACTGTTCATTTTTCTGGTGCAGTGGCTAAGAAGGTCTATCAGTTTGTAAAATGAAGCTTCAGAATAACTTCATAGTCGTGTAGAATTTTTACAATTGCTGGCAACGCTTGAAGACGCTTCCGATTGTTCAAGCAATTCGGGGTGGCAGTCAGCTTTCCAGCGTGGCTGTCAGCTTGGCTGTGTATAAGTCAGCTTGGCTGTGTAGAAGTCAGCTTGGCTGTGTAGAAGTCAGCTTGACTGTGTAGAAGTCAGCTTCACTGTGTAACAGTCAGCTTGACTGTGTAGAAGTCAGCTTGACTGTGTAACAGTCAGCTTGGCTGCGTGGCAGTCTGCTTGGCTGTGTAACAGTCAGCATGGCAGCTTGACGGTCAGCTTGGCTGTGTAGCAGTCAGCTTGGCAGCATGGCAGTCAGCTTGGCAGCATGGCAGCAAGATGGCAGCGCAACAGGCCGCTTGAGCGTCCTCTTGGCAGTCACTGTTCTGATGTGCCCGGCTTGCCATCTCACCGCCTCTTACAATTATCATCCGTTAATCAATGGAGAACTTTCGGTGTATTTTAATCGATCACCTTATGCTTAATCGATCGCCAAGAAAAAGCGATAAATAGGCCTTCTAATGACCATCAATGAACCCGTATAACAAGTTTTGCTTTAACCACACGCGGTGCCCCATTGAGAGTATCTGAACGTAACCACTTCATTGGAACGGAAATATCAGCTAGCGCCAATTAAAGTGAAATTCTTTGTAATGGTGAATGTTTTTCAGTGCAATACGTGGTTAAATGCACTTCCTAACTCATTTATTGGCTTGGTACTCATTTGATATTCCCTAAGAGGTTACAATGAATAAATGACTTATTTTCCTTCAGTTGACAGCTGACCCTGAATTTAAATTGCACCCGAAAGTCGTCGGTATAATCTGCCTGCTTTTGTGTATGGCTTAAGCGGGTTCTCTTCAACGAGGCAATAAGAATCTCGTTGCTTGAGCTCATGTCAAAATCTCAGCTCGTGAATCCAGGGCAAAAGCGGTCAATTTTCAATTTAGCTTGAGTTTACTATCTAAATTGCTAACGGTGATTTTATTATCTAAATTGCTAACGGTGATCGTGACCATGATCCGAGTACTGTGATACATAACGTGGTTGTTCCTCAGACTGATATTTGACAGGGGCAATGGCGGTGGATAAAGAAACTGTGACCTCTGTCTAGTTCTAAAGTGTAACTTTTATTAGGTACTTTCATTTAAAAGGCAGTCGCATAATTGTGGCATGTGTATGATGAATTAATCTATATTTTAATGCAATACCTAATTGAATAACCAGTAGATTATTTTTTATGAGTGATCACCTTGGACTCAACTGTCAACGAACGAGCTTCGTAAAGCAATGATTGTGTCTCTATTACACCAGTGCAGTATAACTCATAAGCCACAATGTAAGACAGGCCCGTGATTGTGTCTCTATTACACCAGTGCAGTATAACTCATGAGCAACAATGTAAGACAGGCCCGTGATTGTGTCTCTATTACACCAGTGCAGTATAACTCATAAGCAACAATGTAAGACAGGTTCGATTGAGCAAGCAGCTGAGCTTGCTCAATCAAGCAGCTTGCTTGCCACGATTTCACTCGATTGAGCAAGCAGCTGCCCGACGATCTCCCTGAATGCCCGCTTGTATGACGTTCTACTATGTTCTACTATGCAATTCCTACTATATGTTCTACTACGCAAGTTCTACTATGTCGACTGTTTCAGAACAGTTTTAAGAACTCTAAATACGAGATGCTTGTCGATCGTCAGCGCTCCGTGTTGCCGACAAACGGATTGTTCATCCCGACATAATTTTATGTGTGCACTGAATGAAGAAAAAGTTTGTACTGCGTTTCAAAGTAAACAATGCTTATGCAATATAAAATTCAAAGTTTTATGAATCTATTATTATCGATTGAAATTGTCAGAGATATTATTTTGTGATGTTTTGATATTAAAGGACTACTCTGTGCATCGAGTACGTTTGGAAATCGGTGAAAATCTAGTTTTCAAATTTCGAGATTGAGTGGATGAATTGGGTTCAACTTATGTATTAATTAGATCAATAACTTAGTGTACTTTCTCTGAGTTATTGGAGACAAGGAAATGAAGTGTCACTCAGGGTAATGTGTTTGCTAATGTGTGAAAACAATAATAAATTGAGCCGAGGAGGAATTGTCTTCTCAGCATGAGGCTAAAATAATAATAATATATCAATATCGTTTTTAATTTCTATTGGGTTTTCTCAAAGTGCAGCTACGCATGCCAAGATTTGCATGCTAGGTGAAGCCGTATTATTTGGGAAATATGCATGAACCTAATTGGTTATTCGTTATACGTTATATGCAAGAACCTAATTGGTTATTCGTTATACGTTATTTGCAAGAACCTAATTAGTTATTCGTTATACGTTATATGCAAGAACCTAATTGGTTATTCGTTATACGTTATATGCAAGAACCTAATTGGTTATTCGTTATACGTTATTTGCAAGAACCTAATTGGTTATTCGTTATACGTTATTTGCAAGAACCTAATTGGTTACTTGTCATACGTTGTTTTAAATTTCATCCGAAACCCGTTTTTAGAGGAAAAATATAATTAAATTAAATTTCTGCTCTCATACTCAGTGATATTGATTCCCGCAACAGCGTTGCATGTGATCTATTTATTTTTTGTAAATTTTCGTGCGCAGTCACACATTGAATGAAAATATAATTTAGTTATTAGTTGAAAATCGATATCATCTATTTTTTCAGCAGATGAACTCTTTTCTCATGAGCTTCTTAGCCTAATTTGGAATATTTTTGCAGAATTTATATCGAAAGTTTTAGTATTAGATAAGTCATTAACTGTAGTTGAAATTTTATTTTAAATTCATCTCATATTTCTTGTATTTTACTAAATTTCTTGTACCTTTTTCATGGATAATTTTTTCTTATTATTATCTACTTGTTACAATTTCGTGATTTAGAGTTTCCTCTATAAAAATTAGTTTTTTAATACAGTAGTTTCAATTAATTAATTTTTCGTCGAAGAAACGTGTATAAAGTTGCTCAATTTCTGTAAATTTTGGGTATCATTTTCCAAGACCTCCGTCCTTCAGCGGTTCCTTACTTATTTTCAATTCCAAAGCCATTTACGTATTTATTGACCACTATCTCGCCTCTTCATACCTGATAAACGTTCGTGCTTCCGCTGAAAATTGTACGTCGAAAGCTCTCAATTGCATGTGCAACTCAAACCTCAACTAGTTATCTTTCGTACTCCTTCTGTAACTGATTCCATTTCCCCTTGAAATATTTCACCACTTACATCTCACAACAACAACTCGATCCAGTTGATGTGCATTTTTGGTTACCGCACTCTCTTCTCCTTCAACCGTGAGTAAAACCTATCGGCCTCCATCGTTTTATGTTCATACCTCCGTCACAAAACAAATTCGTCCTCCTCGATTCTCGGCTAATTTCTGAGCGGTAATTTCTGTGATGTATCGGTTATCACAACTGAGGAGGTACGGCGGATCCCAATCCACCACGCAGTTTGGCAGCTCAAAACGCGACAAAGAAAAGGAAATGGGTTCTGCCTCGACCGTCTCTTCGGCCACCTCTTCCCGACCAACGAGAACCGCCGATGATTCTATGGTCAAATCGAGGGAAGGGCGACCCGACCAATACACTAATTTAACAACCTCTGATAAACCTTCGAGTGAAGTGTCCTCTTCGTCCATTGTCGGAAGAGATCAGAACTCCCCTTCTACACATGGTAGAGCTACCACTGAGCTGTCGAAGGTTGTTTCTTCTACCTACTCCAGCAGTGACCTTCACTCTTCCTCCAACTATGAAAAGCCTGCTGATCTACCAACTTTTGCTTCCACCCATGAGAAAACCACTGATGAACCTTATTTTTCAGCCAGCATCGATAAGTCAAAAGATGAACCTTCCTGCCCCAAAGACAGCAAGAAAACAAGTCAACCTACGTATAGTGCTACTATACCAGATATACCAGATACAGATTCATCTAACAAGTGTTGTGAATCCGATGCTCAAGAAAGTAGATCGTCCAGCAAAAATCATGCGAAGGACTTGATTGCTTCGCATGTAAATGCGTACAGCGGGCTATTAACTCCAGAAGAATCATTCGCGACAGAGCCTGATATTTCTCACTCAAAATCAACTTCAGAACAAATCGTGTCACCAATGAACAACACAGCAAACTCATCAAACGAGTCAAGAGTTCCCACGAAGTCTCCTTCGAATGTGAATGAATTCCGGAAATGTTCTTCCCCGAGTCGGAACGCAAGCTGCGGCGAGGCGGTGCCAGAGATCTCTGTTGTAGCTGATGATAAGAAAGAAGAAGAGGAGTCCGAAGAAGAAGAAGAAGATGACTTAGTGAAGGAAGAAGAAGAAAAAAACTCCAAGCAAAATTTTGACACTGAAAAGATTGACATGGACGGCGAAACATGCGATAAAGAAGACTACAATAACACGATCTCTGTTGTAGTTGATGATAAGAAAGAAGAAGAAGAACATGAGTCCGAAGAAGAAGATGATGATCTAGCGGAGGAAATGGAGGAGAAAGACTCAAAGCAAAATTTTGACACTGAAAAGACCGACATGGATGACGAATACGATGAAGAAGACTACAAGAAAGATGATTCGACAAACGGCGAAGAGGATTCAGAAGATGAAATGGAAGGAGCTGTTGCAGACGCCGATCAGAATGATTCCGGCTACGATTCTTACGAAGGTAATATAGTTTTTGCGTTATATCATTTGCCCAATTCCATCATGACGGTTAAAGGCTGTATCTATCCGTGAGTTTTTTTATGTCGTAGCTATCGCCGTACATTTCAGCCTGACTGCATGGTCATAAAATGGTTCAAAATTTTTCTTCTAAGCTTCCTCGCGAGCACTGTTTTCTAAGCTTTTTCAATGAGAAATGAGTTCTAAAATGTTTAAGCAATACAAACTATACATATAACAAATAAAAATATACGAATTCTTTTTCACTCACCCGTTATTGTGTGAATTTCACTCATAAATCTCATGCGAGCTACTTTCAGGCGTTCATTTATCAATTTTTGCTATCAACTCATAAGTCCTTAGTTTGTTTACCTTGTCAAAATAAATACTTGTTTTTGACATTTGAACCGCGTTTGTTTGACGTGGCTTACTCGAGCAGACCAGATGTTGACACGTAACGAGTGACGGCTGCTTCCGTATTTTGCATAAACACTGCCACTCTTTCAATGTCGCACACTTGATACATGACCGACCGAGCTCTTTGTGGCATATAACTTCCACAATAATTATTTATTCATCCTGTGAAACATTTTAGTTTGTGTGGAATAAACTGAGTGTTGAGTTCTGCTCCTCGGACGAAGCGATATCTATTCTAGATTGTCCTCTTGCCATTTGATGACGCGCGCGCACCGCGGTGTTCGGTAAACAGTTTATACTATAAGACGTCATCCGTCGATAATGTCTTGTGCCGGTGAATCATCATGCGTACGATAATACGATTATTTTTAGCAATTTTTATTTGAGTTGAGGCTTAATTTTTTACGCTTAAAATTTGTGAGAACAATTTTGCATTACAGAGTCTCTCATGATATCTTGAAGATGAGATGATGCGGATTATTCTGATAAGTCAGCGTATATGAATGTCGGCAGCAATTGTTTATTTTTACAATAGCCGAGTTGCTCTTGCGTATCTCGAAGTGTCTCAAAGCTTTATAAAAATATTCAGTCAGATAATGTGTGAATCACAAGATTATCTTCACAATCCGCAGTGGTTCCGGGTAGTTCTGACATGACATGTTTCTGATATCAGAATATCTGCAAGATAACATCAGGCCTCGCACCTGAACCGATCGTTCACTCACCTCGCACATCCGGGAGCGCTGAGCTACCAGCACGCATGCACCATCTGCCCGTCTGCCCATCCACCCCATTCATTTACCTGCTACATTAATTACACGCCGAGCTTGTGCCGTACGCATGTGGCTATCATTTCGTGTCTGATACTGTGTTGTCAAATGCTCAACTCTATGATTAAAATAACCCTATGAATCAAAGATTGAGCGCAAGATTAGACTTTTCTTAGACTTATAGGCGGCAATTTAACGTTGCTTGAATGGCCGTTCTTGATCCGCCTGTGTTTTTGAATTTGGTTGCCTGTGCCAAGAGATGCGTAGCCCCACGGTCGGTCGTTCATCTGTCGGAACGTATCACTCGTTACTGCTGCAAGTGTCACCATGTGTCTCATCCTCACTGCCCTGGTGTCCCTGACAACGATCACGGCTAAAATTTACTGCGCATGTGCAGTCTTCTTTAATGAAATTTATTGAATCGTCCTGTGAGGCCAATTTTGAGCCTTCAAGCAGCCACAAATAAGCAGGTTTTGATTTCAATGTGGGTTCTCCAGAATAGAAAGCATGACGTGTTACTCATCATTTTTGGAGCGTTGTTTACAATCTTCATACCCACAGTAAAAATACTCATACTGTTATATCCTGTTAATATTTTTCACTGATTCTTTTATATACCACTATACGTTTCTTGATTTTTTTCATATCCCGTATTCTGCAGCGGCACTGCCGTACGCTTCCGTGTTGTGTTGTTCTCATGTCCCGTATTCTGCAGTGATGCCGTACACTTCCGTGTTGTGTCTGTCTCTTATACACATCTAGATGTGTATAAGAGACAGCNCCGTACACTTCCGTGTTGTGTTGTTCTCATGTCCCGTATTCTGCAGTGATGCCGTACACTTCCGTGTTGTGTTGTTCTCATGTCCCGTATTCTGCAGTGGCACTGCCGTACACCCGTGTCGTGTTGTTCTCATGTCCCGTATTCTGATGTGACACTGCCGTACACCCGTGTTGTGTTGTTCTCATGTCCCGTATTCTGATGTGACACTGCCGTACACCTGTGCTGTGTTGTTTTCATGTCCCGTATTTTGCAGTGACACTGCCGTACACTTCCGTGTTGTGTCCTTGCTAGCTCCGTGTTGTAGGGGCTACACGTAGCGTACTTGGCAGAGCACAACTTCACTGCTTGGTTGCTATATATAAAAACTGCCGCAACATCGGCAGCTTTAAACAAAATATTTTCCCGTTTATCAAACAAAATATTTTTCCGCGTATCATTAATAAGCGAGAGCTTGTGATCATATCGACGCCAACGATCGGCTTGCTTTAATGACCGCACAGTGACGACCTGTCATTGCTTCTTATATGAATCTTGATTTTCCGCTCTAAAATTTGTGATGTTGCTGCGGGTATTTATAATTTTTGTGATGTTGCTGCGGGTATTTATAATTTTTGTGATGTTGCTGCGGGAATATATAATAATTGTGATGTTGCTGCGGGTATTTATAATATTTGTGATGTTGCTGCGGGTATTTATAATATTTGTGATGTTGCTGCGGGTATTTATAATATTTGTGATGTTGCTGCAGGTATATATAATACTTGTGATGTTGCTGCGGATATTTATAATATTTGTGATGTTGCTGCGGATATTTATAATATTTGTGATGTTGCTGCGGATATTTATAATATTTGCAATGTTACTGCGGGTATTTATAATATTTGTGATGTTGCTGCGGGTATTTATAATATTTGTGATGTTGCTGCGGGTATTTATAATAGTTTTGGTGTTGCTGCGGGTATGTATAATAATTGTGATGTTGCTGCGGGTATTTATAACTTTTATGATTTTGCTGCTCATGGGGAAAATATTAATTTAATTTTTTTGCATTGTGCTGGAAAAATTGCCTCCGATTAATTACGGTTTCTCTGTTTATTAGAATTATGCTGATGAGGTTGTGTTTCTCTTTAGGGTTCCCTTTATCGAGAAACAAATTTAGCAACAAATACTAAATCTCCAGACTAAAATTCAGCTGGATGTGTTGTTGCTTGACCCGAGAAGTGTTCGTCGACCAGTAAGAGTAAAAATGTTTAACCACAAAATGCATGCACAATTTGCCTGAATTTCTTGGCTTTGAACTTGTGTTTAACAGCAAAGGATGAATTTACATAAACAAACCTTCGTTTACACTTGCCACGCCATCGCTGTCTGTAACGCCTAAATATATATAAATATTTTTCTTCCTACCCCTGACGTTGACTACCATAGTTTCTTCATAGTAAATCTCATGTGTACCAAGCCATGACTAGGATCGAAAATTTGTGTATTTGTCCCAATGCTAACCTCACTTGATTTTTTTGTTCGGTATTTAGACTCGTCACGGGCTTTGTCTGTGACTGATGTTGCTATGTGAACTTCTTTGATCACATATTTATCGAAACGCTGACTTTGTTGGAAGCTAATGTATTATATAAACGATTACATAAACAACTAGTGATTTCCTTATAATGCAAAGCAGGCACCACGAGACGCGTTCGTTATTAATTAACTCATAATTAGAGAATATGAACGAATTTCCCGAAGAACGACTAACAATCAACAAACACATTACATTGTGCATTAATTTGACAAAAACATAACTGAGACAAAGCTGCAACAAGGACAAGAAACTTTCATGAGTGTAGTGAGGGAAGACGCCCCTCCCCATCCCCTCTATTTCTTTCAGTGCAAGTTGGCACACAAACATGTTGCTTAATTTTGTGCTTAACGTGCGAATCTTTTTGCATTCTGCCTCGCTCATATCAAAGACCATTAATAAAAGTCCTCTCTTTGTTGCTGCGGCGCGGAGTGAACCTCTAGGAAGCTGTAAAGAAAGTCTGACGCTTCGCTTTAAATCGTCCGGCACTGCGAAGAAATGTTCTCTTCGAACGTCGCCCTGCGCTGAGCTCTGCCGAAATATTATTTTTTTATAAAGCTTCATCCACCACGCGCCAGACGCGTGAACCGCTTCATCCACCACGCACCAGACGCGTGAACCGCTACATCCACCACGCGCCAGACGCGTGCACCGCTACATCCACCACGCGCCAGACGCGTGCACCGCTACATCCACCACGCGCCAGACGCGTGCACCGCTACATCCACCACGCGCGCGCTACGCTGGCTACAATAAATGCGTCTGATAGCGGTGAATTCCCCGAAGAAATTCGTTACTGTGCAGCGACCGCACGTCTAATTGACACGTCTCGTGATATTTGTTGAAAGAGGAATTATGGCAAACTATCCTATCACATTTCACAAGATAATAACACCTTGAAATAATAATGAACTAATTAAAGGACAGAAGCGTATCCTCTAACAAAAAACTATGCACACGGGGTCAAAGATGGTGGCTATTTTATTTCATTTATCCATAAATTAAATCAGAATGTGGGCCGGTGTAGCCTGATTGGGCCGGGAGAATGCGTATGACGTGACAGCCTCGCGACCAATGATCCCATGTCGTTCCCTTCAGTGCTGCAAATTAAATTCACGAATCTCTTAATCCATAAATATATCTCTTAAATCGACATGATAGAAATTGTGTATGGATATATTAAAATTATGTTTTTTTTATTCCTAAATTAATATTTTGCTCTATCCACTTATACATCTATCTGGGATCAATAAAGATATTTATCAATTATCAATTCAAATTTAAGCGTTGGGCACTGCCCGTCTATCTTCATACAATCATACATTATAGTTTAATTATATACATTATAGTTTAATTATATTGAAATATATCAATTGTATGGAACTAAACTAATTGTAAATATGTAGAGCATCTTTATTTTAGTTACATAGGTCAAAGGGAAGAGCAAAGCTCGGTCGGCT